TGAAGTCCCCGTCTATCTTTTTTGTTCTACTGTTTCTTTCATTCAGACAGTTGTATTTCTGTCAGACTATTACTTGTAGTAAATCCTAGAATGCTCGTGAATTGTGACTCCAGATCCGGATGGTAGTAATTAATACAGTTTTATGATATTTCACACTTATTATATTTCATCTTAGTTAATTATTATTAATTATTGAATGAAAATAAGGAATTGGTTAATGATTCTCTAATGTTGGCTTGCCTAGCAAGTGAAATGTTAGGCGCCATCATGGTCCCATCGGTGGGAAATTTCGGGTCGTGACAAATATACCAACACGTCTCAAAATACATTACGAACTTAGTCGAGGCCTCAAATCACGCCAAACAATATCGAAACTACTAATAACCCTCCAATTCAAACTTAATGAACTTTGAAACTTCAAACTTTTACAATCGATGCCGAAACCTATCAAATCACGTCCGATTGACCTCAGATTTTGCACACAAGTCATAATTGACACTATGGACCTACTCCAACTTCCGGAATTAGAATCCGACCCCAATATCAAAAGGTCCACTCCCGGTCAAACTTTCCTAAAAACTTTCAAATTCCCAGCTTTCGCCAAATGACCCTAAAATGACCTACGGACCTTCAAATCCACTTCCAGACGCACTCCTAAGGTCAGAGTCATCATACGGAGCTATTCTCAGACTCGGAATCCCAAACGGACATTGATAACATTGAGATTCACTTCAACCCATATTTATGAAATTTTTCCAAATGCCAACTTTCCACAATAGGTGCCGAAACGCTCCCGGGTCATCCAAAACTCTATCCGGACATATGCCCAAGTCCAAAAATTATCATACGAACCTGTTGGAACCTTCAAATCCCAATTCCGAGGTCGTTTACTCAAAAATCAACCCTTAGCCAACTCTTCCAACTTAAAGCTTCTGGAATTAGAATTTTCTCTCCAAATCAACTCCGAATTTCAATTCCGACCACACGTACAAGTCATAATACCCGAAGTGAAGCTACACATGGCCTCAAACTGCCGAATGACGCGCTAGAGCTCAAAACGACCAGTCGGATCGTTACAACTGATTTCTGGAATCATGTCCCTCCAGGAGATTGTAGTTGGTACTGAAAAAGATTGCACAAGTTGAAATTTAATATGCAGACCTGGTATTTGAATGATAGATATCAACTGACCTCTAATGGAGTTTACTCTGCTTCAAAAAGTTACATTGCTATGTGGGG